AGGCGGTGAGAGTCACGCGATTAACTGCTCAACGCAGAAAGAGATTAAATATGCTTGCTTGTGTTATTCATAGTATATTACATAGCAAACTTGTAATGTACCTGTGAAATCGTACACGTACAAAACACCAGAAAGTTTCACTTAAATCACCAAATCTGTCATCAAAGTGAGTGAGTGAACCTGTGAACCTTAGTTGTGGAATGACAGGGACCTCTCGTGGTCATATTTTAAAATATATTTTTGCGTTTGTTTCTTTTATCAGTAGTCTCGTGTTTTACTCGAATTCTTCAGTTTGCATTTCTTTTGTTTATAGATAAGGATAGTGAGACATATGAAGAGAAGGAATATGTTATTGTTCTAATGTCAAGAGAAAGTAATCTAGCATTTACATATCTCAGTGAAACGGCTTGTTTCAAATTACTTTAACAACAGAAACTTGTTGATAGAGGTAAATTAATAAACCATAATTAATTATGTGATTCCAGAAGATTCAAGAACTGTATGTTCTTCAATAAAAATGTTATTAAGGGGGGAAATGTGATTTCAGTCTACATCTTGATTGTAGCTCTTTGTAGTATTTTAGATGTCCCACCTGTGTGTCCCTCCCAGACGTCTTCATATGAAATCTACACCACTGGTCTGTATTAAGAAAGATTGAAAGCACTTTATTTACTGCAGTATGAGGAAGCTTTAGTTTCCTGATGTTATTTCTGTGTAGTACTGTTGAAGTATATGGATTCCTGTCACAAAGTTCAGGAAACTTCAAAAGACTTCATTAGATTAAAGATTAATTTGTTTATTAACTATTATAAAGAAGACCAGTAATTTTCATACATTTACATGCCAGAGGAAATTGTGTGTGTGTAATGGGAAGTTTTTATCAAATTTTATCAAAAGTTTTTTTTTTATCAAAACTTCCCCGTAGTTCCACCAAAACTTCCTCATATTTACAAGCTTTAGGGCTCCTGTAAAAGAACCTGTTTGTATGTTTACAACCATCATGTTAAACAAGTTTTGAAACGCAGAGATCCATTACTGTCGTGAATACAGCCAAACCTGCACCAGCAGGGACATAGCATCTGGGTGAGCAGGGTATGTATGTGGATATGGGCCCAGGCAGATATAGGAACCCGCATTCATAAAGCTACACTGAAAAAAATGAACATAGCAGGTCTTTGAAATTAAACAAATGATGTACAACACAATTTATTCATGTTTCTGTTGTGAACATGCTTTAATCAAGTAGGTTTCAATTGTTCATATTGAGTGTTGTATGTACACATTTCTCTCACGTTGATTGAAATTGATTGAATCTAAAACTGAAATCAATCTAATTGAGTTTTGACACAACCGGGGCACTCCGGAGCAGATGGTGGCGGTATTGCATCATTGAGAGGGATGACAAACTGCCGTAAAAGGAGAAATTGAATCAAGCGCCAAAAACTGTGAAGTATTCAGCAGCTGAGCCAACAGTCGCCTCATCTCAGACGACCAACGATTTGCTGAAAAGTTCAGCAAATTGTTTTATATTTGTTTTCAAATAGGCGATATTTCCACTAGATAACAGTTTTCGTAGTGTATAACAAGTACAATGGTCAATTACCAACACTAACACTGCTAGTTTATCATTAAGCGTCAACAAGCGGTGGCCATAGTCGTAGGCCTTTTTAAAAGGAGGTAACGTTATTTTTCATAAAAATGTTGTGTTTATTTTCTAGTTTGTCTGTACATTGAAACTTTGCTGACATTGTGAATTGACCTTCCACACGGCAGTCACGAGTGTTTTCTAGCTCATTTTCAATGAGATAACGTTATATTTAGAGAGAGGCAAAACGCGGGCGATTTCGCTGCAGGCGGCGTGGAGACGGTGAAAAGCGGTGCTCCTGCACCCGGCTTTCACAAGCATATGTTTATATTCAGTGAAAGTAAAGTTATGCTCAGTTTAACCGGTCATAACTCGGTTAAAGTTATGAATTGGTTGTAACCTTACAGTCCTAGCAACAAAAATTAAGCAAAAAATGTAACAAAATCCACAATAGACCTTTGTGGAACTTTGGCAGTTTAATGAACTTAACGATGCACTCAGGAACATTTGTCAGCAATAAAAAGTGTGTACATGTTTATGTAACATTTTTAATGAATAGCATTTTTTGACAGTTATTTTGAGATGAAGATGCATTTCAGTGGAAAAAAAAAAAGTTTTATTCTAGCAGGTAAGTTAACCCCTAATCAACAGAATTCTCCTTTCCTCTTTCCTTTAACTTCTGTGCATTAATCATAGCTATTTCTTCTTTATGTATTTTTCCTTTCAGATCAGAGAAAATAGCAGAATGGATCCCCGCTAAGTTTTTAATGCAATTCTAAAAATTACTGATCATAAAAGATAAATCATTAAAATCTAATATCATCTGTACTAGTTTGCATAAAACTTTCAAATGTTTTTAAAGAACAATGTTATTTCTCAACGCTTTTTGAAGTGAGCCTCATTAGGGTCTGTAACGTCGTTCGTAGTTCGGGAAGAAGGAGGCGGGAACCGGCAAACATTTGAAGAAAACTTTAATAAAATAAACAAATTCAGTTCTTACATTTTGAAATGCTACTGCTTACCATTTCTGGTGATATTAAGACATTATGTTAAATTATTATTAGATACTAGCATTTGCTCTACATGTTGACAGCAAAAATGAGAGAAAAGTCTTGTGCCACTTACCTGATTTATCACTGATACTGGAGTCAAAGATTTCAGCATTACCTTTGCAGAACCAGTCCACAATATCTCTTTCTTCATGCACAAAGGTGCCATTGTTCCAGAACTCTGCAAGTTTCATTTCATACTCATTAAACCCCACAAATCTCCCCAAAGTGCTGTCAAACTGTATGAATAGATATTTATTGAAATAGTAGTTGTCAAAATACACCATGTCACTGATATTAGAGGAGCTGTAGATGCATCTTGACATGCGGTATCTGTAATATACATCAGCTGAAAAAGAATGAAGATGCAGAAAAATCTGTCAGATAAATATGTTAACAAGGACTTGGATGCATAAGTCAGTTGCAGTAGGCTACATGGATGTCTTTTCAAAAAGTACAAGTAATATTTCCTTTAGAACGTCCATTACCAGGAACTTTAAAATGAATGACCCTTCTTAAGAAAATGTTGCAATATAATAATTGTACTACTACTGCTACTAAAAGTAACTAACAATAATGATGCAATTATTGTTGATATTTATTATTTCAAGACCTCTTATTTTACTTACCACTTTCCGCTACATGACATATAGACAGTGTTAATATGAGATGACAGCTGAAGAGCTTTTGCAGTGACATTTTCACTGACTCTGAGCTGAATGCTGCCAGTGCTTTGTTCATGTTCATGAGATTGATGTCCAAGACAAAAACATGTCAAAACATGTCAAATGTTGCTAGGCAGCATACTGCTTTCATTTTTTTTAAAAACACTGTAGATCTTCCCCGTAGTTCCACCAAAATGTCCTCATGTTTACAAGCTTTAGGGCTCCTATAAAATAACATGCTTGTATGTTTACAACAATCATGTTAAACAAGTTTTGAAATGCAGAGATCCATTACTGTTGTTGTTTTGGACCCTTTAAATAAAAAAAGACTCAGGGTTGACTTGCTACACTATTGAGCACCAGGTATTTAAGTATGTGATACTTCCTCATACATAAGCACACGGGGAAAAAGGAAGGCCCTTTAATCATGTGAAAGTTACTGTGATCTTGATGATGATATATATACCTTCATAATGTTGAATTATTCATCACAGCCCAGCATTTTAACATTTAACATTAATAATTAACAAATGCATTAAACACTTGTCTGTTTTTTTTTATGGGGTCACCATTGTGGTGAAATGTTGAGTGTGTGCTTGGGTTTAGGGCCTGCTAACAGGTATTAACTACTTTAATAATAATAATAATAATAATAATAATAATAATATTGTTATGGGAATGCCCTTAAATGGCAGTAAAATTTTAAACAAACAAGCAAACAGTGTCTGTGCTTTAGAGAGTCAAATCCAGTGAAATTAAGAAAAACATATAACTGCACAAATCATGAAAGAACAAATCAAAGCCTCTGATAGTTTGGGTCTGATCTCATCAACATAATAAGGAATAAGGAACACATCAAGCAATGAAGTTGGTGAGATGAATGTAGAATGGCAACTGTTAAGACGCATAACAGGATTTTGCTAATTTTAGTCAGTGCTTATAGCACTGAATTGAAGATTATTCTTTATTTTGTACATGAATATACCTTGCGTATTTGTGTATTTATGACAGGTGTATACAGTGAAAATACCTGGTGTATTTGAAGTTTGTCAAACTGTTTTTATAGCTGTGTCCGGTTATGCATGTCTGAACTGCATTGTCAATTTGCATGTTATTGCAAGTAAACTCTGCTCTTAAATTCAGTTGTATAATCTCATGACCAACCAACCTCACATGAAGAAATTTTAATGCAAAGCATTTTTCAACCACCATACCAACATTTTTAAGAATAGGGAAATTATGCACAAAACACTATTAAATGCCCTGCAGTTTGACAGCATCATGTGACTTGAGTCACATGATGCTCAAGCCCGTGTCAACAAGATTGCACCCACCCCCCTAAATTTGGAATCGTATGGGTGCAATGCGCAGTTTGGGAAAAAGTAAAACATCACCAGCTGCTTAAATTCAAATCTGCATTCGCTGACAGTCCCTGCGTTCCATTTCACTTCGGTTTGGAACGACCCTTCAATATGGCGGCCATGATTGCTTTCACTCCGAAGTGCCCTTCGGAGGGCGATATATCCCGCTTGGAATGCACCGAGAAACATACGCGTTTTTACAGCGCTTCGCATTAAAACCAATCACACACGATTCTGCTTATGAATGCAATGGCCAATCAAAGGCGATCAGATGAGTCATCGCTGAAACACTGGTGTTTTGTTCAGTGCGTTCACTGACTGATTTCTGCTCTCATCAGAGACAACAATAAATGTACGTGCGAAAAAGAATGAATGCAGTACAATCTGTCAAATAAATGTTAACAAGAAAGAACTTGGATGCATCAGTCAGTTGCAGTAGGCTACATGGATGTCTTTTAAATAAGTACAAGTAATAGTTCCTTTAGAACGTCCATTACCAGGAACTTTAAAGGGGTCATATGATGCGATTTCAAGTTTTCCTTTCTCTTTGGCGTGTTACAAGCTGATTGTGCATAGATAAGATCCCTGAAGTTGCAAAGACTAAAGCCTCAAAACCAAAGAGATATTCTCTGAATCAAGAAGAGCAAATACACAGTTACACAGTTTCATGTTGTGTGTGTGTGGTTCAGGCATACCCTATGTTATGGGGACAAAATGTCCCCACAGAGATGGCAATATCTGAAATCATTCTCCTTGTGGGGACATCTGTTGGTCCCCATAAGGGCAAACAGCTTACAAATCATACTAAGTGATGTTTTTGTAAAATGTTTCTGTAATGGGTAGGTTTAAGGGAGACAATATACAGTTTGTACAGTATAAAAATATTTTGTCTTTATTCACAATAAGTTATTCAAATTCAGTTCTTACATTTTGAAATGCTACTGCTTACCATTTCTGGTGATATTAAGACATTATGTTAAATTATTATTAGATACTAGCATTTGCTCTACATGTTGACAGCAAAAATGAGAGAAAAGTCTTGTGCCACTTACCTGATTTATCACTGATACTGGAGTCAAAGATTTCAGCATTACCTTTGCAGAACCAGTCCACAATATCTCTTTCTTCATGCACAAAGGTGCCATTATTCCAGAACTCTGCCAGTTTCATTCCATACTCATTAAACCCCACAAATCTACCCAAAGTGCTGTCAAACTGTATGAATAGATATTTATTGAAATAGTAGTTGTCAAAATACACCATGTCACTGATATTAGAGGAGCTGTAGATGCATCTTGACATACGGTATCTGTAATATACATCAGCTGAAAAAGAATGAAGATGCAGAAAAATCTGTCAGATAAATATGTAACCAAGAACTTGGATGCATCAGTCAGTTGCCGTAGGCTACATTTCCTTTAGAACGTCCATTACCAGGAACTTTAAAACCAATGACCCTTCTTAAGAAAATGTTGCAATATAATAATTTCACTACTACTCCTACTAAAAGTAACAGTAACAATAATGATGCAATTATTGTTGATATTTATTATTTCAATACCTCTCATTTTACTTACCACTTTCCGCTACAAGACATATAGATAGTGCTAATATGAGATGACAGCTGAAGAGCTTTTGCAGTGACATTTTCACTCACTCTGAATCCCAGCTGAATGCTGCCAGTGATTTGTTCATGTTCATTAGATTGATGTCCAAGACAACTCTACAACCAGTTACTGCAGGTGTAAGTGTCAACTGTTGCTAGGCAGCATACTGCTTTCACTTTAAAAGAAAATTTAAAAGAAAACACTAGATTTATCAGTCTAACTAACTTATATATATTAATATCTTACAGAGACTCATATTCTGTGACGTTAATGTGTAAGCAGTTGGTAACTAGCATATTATACAACAGCAATACGAAACACAAAGTTTATCCATTTATTATCTCTGGCACTCCTATAATCCATTCATCAGAGCTGGTCTCATCATAATGATTTTCATAAAGAACAACTTTAATGTTGCAAAATTGGATCTTCCCCGTAGTTCCACCAAAACTTCCTCATATTTACAAGCTTTAGGGCTCCTGTAAAAGAACCTGTTTGTATGTTTACAACAATCATGTTAAACAAGTTTTGAAACACAGAGATCCATTACTGTCGTGAATACAGCCAAACCTGCACCAGCAGGGGCTACAGAGACTCATATTTCCTACAGAACAAACCTCTGTGACATTAATGTGTAAGCAGTTGGTAACTAGCATATTATACAACAGCAATACGAAACACAAAGTTTATCCATTTATTATCTCTGGCACTCCTATAATCCATTCATCAGAGCTGGTCTCATCATAATGATTTTCATAAAGAACAACTTTAATGTTGCAAAATTGGATCTTCCCCGTAGTTCCACCAAAACTTCCTCATATTTACAAGCTTTAGGGCTCCTGTAAAAGAACCTGTTTGTATGTTTACAACAATCATGTTAAACAAGTTTTGAAACACAGAGATCCATTACTGTCGTGAATACAGCCAAACCTGCACCAGCAGGGGCATAGCATCTGGGTGAGCAGGGTATGTATGTGGATATGGGCCCAGGCAGATATAGGAACCCGCATTCATAAAGCTATGACATCGTTCACTTCATTGCCTGTATGGCTCAAAGCTCGCTCAGTTGCCCAAGCAGCCTCATAATGTCCCTTAAAATTCAGTGATTAATATTCATTGACTGTGGTTTACGCTCATTGTTTTATTAAATACAGGTGCATCTCAATAAATTAGAATGTCGTGGAAAAGTTCATTTATTTC